CTATATTAAAATATCACCTTTTTTATTATTAATTGCTTAATAACAGATTTCATTTCATACATTTATATAAAGTACTACGGATATACGAATATACGAATATATAGTATACGAATTAGGATATACGAATTAATTCTTCTTACCTTAAAAATCTATACGTTGATTAAATGTCGCTTTAATTTCGGTCGATATATATATGATTTAGTCATTTCCCAACTTTATTTTTAAACTGTGCATTTGTACATGTGTTTACGTTACCTGCAGTATTGATTATAAAGTTGATCTTCCTTACACTTCATTTTCAAATTACAGAATAAGTGTTAACAGCAAACATGATCGGTATACAAAGTTGTTATGAATGCCAATATGACAGAACCCTTATAGCAATAATTGCCCTGAAAAGACGATTTTAAATTTTTGCCTTTTATTCCAATTTTTAACAGGTGAGCGATTTAGGTCTTATGAGCCTCTTGTTTTAAAATAATTTGTCGATGTAATTTTGCTTGTGTTTTAAATCAAATTTAAACAAATTATATCTACCGCGATTAAAAGTTTTGTTTATACCAGGTAAAGAAGACCTTTGCCAGTGCTTTTTCTGTGGAGGTGGTTTAACAAGCTGGGAACCTTGCTTTAAAAGTTTTATTGGCATATGTAGTTTTGTCTCACATCTTATCTTGCCCATACCCCTTTCAAAACGTATAGCTATCTTTTGTCGCACATATAACACAGTTACCAAACTCATGATCAGTCAAAAGTTTAAAATATTTAGGTACTAGAACGACAGGCTTCAATTTTTAATTTCAAATAAAAAATTATTTACATGGCAACTAGTTTACAATAGTTCTGACAAAAAAAAACAAATATAACGCTCGGTTTCAGGGATTATATTTTTATTTCTGTTGTCAATGAAAAAAATTCTTTTAAACATAAGACAATTATCATAAAAGCTTTTTATTATTTAGCAAAATGCTAGTTGTCGACATCATGTACATTGGCCACACTTTTAAAGGAAAATATAAGTACGCTGTCTTCATCTTTATACATATATTTTCCTGTTATTTACAGTGGTCATATTCTACCAAATATAAAGAAAGCTATATTAAAATATCACCTTTTTTTATCATTAATTGTTTATTAACAGATTTCGTACATTTATATAAAGTACTACGGATTTACAAATATACGAATATTAGGATATAAGAATGAATTCTTCTTACCTTAAAAATCTATACGTTGATTAAATGTGAATTCACTTTGGTCGATATATATATAATTTATGTGTATTGGATTTAGTTATTTCCCAACTTTATTTTTAAACTGTGCATTTGTACATGTGTTTACGTTGCCGGCAGTATTGATGATAAGTTGATCTTCCTTACACTTCATTTTCAAATTACAGATACTAAAGATAAAAAATATAGACTTAAAATAAAATGTTGTTTTGTTAAAAATAGTCCAATAAACAATATTATGCCGAATCAAATACAAAGAAAACTATATTAAAATATCACCTTTTTTATTATTAATTGTTTATTAACAGATTGCATACATTAATATAAAGTACAACAGATATACGAATATACGAATATTAGGATATAAGAATTAATTTTTCTTACCTTAAACTTAAAAACCTATACGTTGATTAAATGTCGCTTTAATTTTGGTTGATATATATATAATTTATGTGTATTGGATTTAGTTATTTCCCAACTTTATTTTTAAACTGCATTTGTACATGTGTTTACGTTACCTGCAGTATTGATAATAAAGTTGATCTTCCTTACACTTCATTTTCAAATTACAGATACTAAAGATAAAAAATATAGACTTAAAATAAAATGTTGTTTTGTTAAAAATAGTCCAATGAACAATATTATGCCCAGTCAAAAACTTCACAACATTATGCATGTTATATATAATTGAAAATGTATATGATCTAAATGTAGCATACACAGTCGATCTTATTTCCACTGATATGATAATGGAGCAGTACATTCACGAACGTGAAGATAAATCTATGTTTTGACCTTCCCAAAAATTGTTCATATGCGATTTCTTTTCTTTAAAATAGAGAGAAATAAATAAGACAAACACTCAAACAAATCTGGAACAGTGATTATCTGTAGGGAATACATTTTATATCGGTTTTACAAAAAGAGTGTCTTGCCTTAAAAGTTTTATTGGCATATGTAGTTTTGTCTCACATCTTATCTTGCCCATACCCCTTTCAAAACGTATAGCTATCTTTTGTCGCACATATAACACAGTTACCAAACTCATGATCAGTCAAAAGTTTAAAATACTTAGGTACTAGAACGATAGGCTTCAATTTTTAATTTCCAATAAAAAATTATTTACATGGCAACTAGTTTACAATAGTTCTGACAAAAATAAACAAATATAACGCTCGGTTTCAGGTACTATATTTTTATTTCTGTTGTAAATGTAAAAATTTTCTTTTAAACATAAGACAATTATTATAATTTTTTTTTTTTTATTTAGCAGAATGCTAGTTGTCGACATCATGTACATTAGCCACACTTTTAAAGGAAAATATAAGTACGCTGTCTTCATCTTTATACATATATTTTCCTGTTATTTACAGTGATCATATTCTTCCAAATACAAAGAAAACTATATTAAAATATCACCTTTTTTATTATTAATTGTTTATTAACAGATTTCGTACATTTATATAAAGTACTACGGATTTACAAATATACGAATATTAGGATATAAGAATTAATTCTTCTTACCTTAAACTTAAAAACCTATACGTTGATTAAATGTCGCTTAAATTTTGGTCGATATATATATAATGTATGTGTATTGGATTTAGTCATTTCCCAACTTTATTTTTAAACTGTGCATTTGTACATGTGTAACGTTACCTGCAGTATTGATTATAAAGTTGATCTTCCTTACACTTCATTTTCAAATTACAGATACTAAAGATAAAAAATATAGGCTTAAAATAAAATGTTGTTTTGTTAAAATAAATCCAATGAACCATATTATGTGGAGTCAAAAACTTCACAACATTATGCATGTTATATTAAATTGAAAATGTATATGATCTAAATGTAGCATACACAGTCGATCTTATTTCCACTGATATGATAATGGAGCAGGAAATTCACGAACGTGAAGATAAATCTTTGTTTTTACCTTCCCAAAAATTGTTCATATGCGATGGCTTTTCTTTAAAATAGAGAGAAATGAATAAGATAAACACTCAAACAAAACTGGAACAGTGATAATCTGTAGGGAATACATTTTATATTGGTTTTACAAAAAGAGTGTCTTGCTTTAAAAGTTTTATTGGCATATGTAGTTTTGTCTCACATCTTATCTTGCCCATACCCCTTTCAAAACGTATACCTATCTTTTGTCGCACATATAACACAGTTACCAAACTCATGATCAGTCAAAAGTTTAAAATATTTAGGTACTAGAACGACAGGCTTCAATTTTTAATTTCCAATAAAAAATTATTTACATGGCAACTAGTTTACAATAGTTCTGACAAAAATAAACAAATATAACGCTCGGTTTCAGGGATTATATTTTTATTTCTGTTGTCAATGAAAAAAATTCTTTTAAACATAAGACAATTATCATAAAAGCTTTTTTTTATTTAGAAAAATGGTAGTTGTCGACATCATGTACATTGGCCACACTTTTAAAGGAAAATATAAGTACGCTGTCTTCATCTTTATACATATATTCTCCTGTTATTTACAGTGATCATATTCTACCAAACATAAAGATAACTATATTAAAATATCACCTTTTTTATTATTAATTGCTTAATAACAGATTTCATTTCATACATTTATATAAAGTACTACGGATATACGAATATACGAATATATAGTATACGAATTAGGATAGACGAATTAATTCTTCTTACCTTAAAAATCTATACGTTGATTAAATGTCGCTTTAATTTTGGTCGATATATATATAATTTATGTGTATTGGATTTAGTCATTTCCCAACTTTATTTTTAAACTGTGCATTTGTACATGTGTTTACGTTACCTGCAGTATTGATTAGAAAGTTGATCTTCCTTACACTTCATTTTCAAATTACAGAATAAGTGTTAACAGCAAACATGATCGGTATACAAAGTCGTTATGAATGCCAATATGACAGAACCCTTATAGCAATAATTGCCCTGAAAAGACGATTTTAAATTTTTGCCTTTTATGTCAATTTTTAACAGGTGAGCGATAGAGGTCTTATGAGGCTCTTGTTTTAAAATAATTTGTCGATGTAATTTTGCTTGTGTTTTAAATCAAATTTAAACAAATTATATCTACCGTGATTAAAAGTTTTGTTTATACCAGGTAAAGAAGACCTTTGCCAGTGCTTTTTCTGTGGAGGTGGTTTAACAAGCTGGGAACCTTGCTTTAAAAGTTTTATTGGCATATGTAGTTTTGTCTCACATCTTATCTTGCCCATACCCCTTTCAAAACGTATAGCTATCTTTTGTCGCACATATAACACAGTTACCAAACTCATGATCAGTCAAAAGTTTAAAATACTTAGGTACTAGAACGACAGGCTTCAATTTTTAATTTCCAATAAAAAATTATTTACATGGCAACTAGTTTACAATAGTTCTGACAAAAATAAACAAATATAACGCTCGGTTTCAGGGATTATATTTGTATTTCTGTTGTCAATGAAAAAAATTCTTTTAAACATAAGACAATTATCATAAAAGCTTTTTTTTATTTAGCAAAATGCTAGTTGTCGACATCATGTACATTGGCCACAATTTTAAAGGAAAATATAAGTACGCTGTCTTCATCTTTATACATATATTTTCCTGTTATTTACAGTGGTCATATTCTACCAAATATAAAGAAAGCTATATTAAAATATCACCTTTTTTTTATTATTAATTGTTTATTAACAGATTTCGTATATTTATATAAAGTACTACGGATTTACGAATATACGAATATTAGGATATAAGAATTAATTCTTCTTACCTTAAAAATCTATACGTTGATTAAATGTGAATTCACTTTGGTCGATATATATATAATATATGTGTATTGGATTTAGTCATTTCCCAACTTTATTTTTAAACTGTGCATTTGTACATGTGTTTACGTTGCCGGCAGTATTGATGATAAGTTGATCTTCCTTACACTTCATTTTCAAATTACAGATACTAAAGATAAAAAATATAGACTTAAAATAAAATGTTGTTTTGTTAAAAATAGTCCAATGAACAATATTATGCCGAATCAAATACAAAGAAAACTATATCAAAATATCACCTTTTCTATTATTAATTGTTTATTAACAGATTTCATACATTAATATAAAGTTCAACAGATATACGAATATACGAATATTAGGATATAAGAATTAATTCTTCTTACCTAAAACTTAAAAATCTATACCATGTATACGTTGATTAAATGTCGCTTTAATTTTGGTCGATATATATATAATTTATGTGTATTGGATTTAGTTATTTCCCAACTTTATTTTTAAACTGTGCATTTGTACATGTGTTTACGTTACCTGCAGTATTGATAATAAAGTTGATCTTCCTTACACTTCATTTTCAAATTACAGATACTAAAGATAAAAAATATAGACTTAAAATAAAATGTTGTTTTGTTAAAAATAGTCCAATGAACAATATTATGCCTAATCAAAAACTTCACAACATTATGCATGTTATATTAAATTGAAAATGTATATGATCTAAATGTAGCATACACAGTCGATCTTATTTCCACTGATATGATAATGGAGCAGTAAATTCACGAACGTGAAGATAAATCTATGTTTTTACCTTCCCAAAAATTGTTCATATGCGATTTCTTTTCTTTAAAATAGAGAGAAATAAATAAGATAAACACTCAAACAAATCTGGAACAGTGATTATCTGTACGGAATACATTTTATATCGGTTTTACAAAAAGAGTGTCTTGCTTTTAAAGTTTTATAGGAATATTTAGTTTTGTCTCACATCTTATCTTGCCCATACCCCTTTCAAAACGAAAAGCTATCTTTTGTCGCACATATTTCACAGTTAACAACTCATGATTAGTCAAAAGTTTACAATACTGAGATACTAGAACGATAGGCTTTAATTTTTAATTTCCAATAAAAAATTATTTACATGGCAACTTGTTTACAATAGTTCTGACAAAAATAAACAAATATAACGCTCGGTTTCAGGGATTATATTTTTATTTCTGTTGTAAATGTAAAAAATTTTTTTTAAACATAAGACAATTATCATAAAAGCTTTTTTTTATTTAGCAAAATGGTAGTTGTCGACATCATGTACATTGGCCACACTTTTTAAGGAAAATATAAGTACGCTGCCTTCATCTTTATACATATATTCTCCTGTAATTTACAGTGATCATATTCTTCCAAATATAAAGAAAACTATATTAAAATATCACCTTTTTTATTATTAATTGCTTAATAACAGATTTCATTTCATACATTTATATAAAGTACTACGGATATACGAATAAACGAATATATAGTATACGAATTAGGATATACGAATTAATTCTTCTTACCTTAAAAATCTATACGTTGATTAAATGTCGCTTTAATTTTGGTCGATATATATATAATTTATGTGTATTGGATTTAGTCATTTCCCAACTTTATTTTTAAACTGTGCATTTGTACATGTTTTTACCTTACCTGCAGTATTGATTATAAAGTTGATCTTTCTTACACTTCATTTTCAAATTACAGAATGAGTGTTAACAGCAAACATGATCGGTATACAAAGTCGTTATGAATGCCAATATGACAGAACCCTTATAGCAATAATTGCCCTGAAAAGACGATTTTAAATTTTTGCCTTTTATTTCAATTTTTAACAGGTGAGCGATTTAGGTCTGATGAGCCTCTTGTTTTAGAATAATTTGTCGATGTAATTTTGCTTGTGTTTTAAATCAAATTTAAACAAATTATATCTACCGTGATTAAAAGTTTTGTTTATACCAGGTACAGAAGACCTTTGCCAGTGCTTTTTCTGTGGAGGTGGTTTAACAAGCTGGGAACCGAACGACGACCCCTGGATAGAGCATGCCCGCTGGATTCCAAACCGTCATTTTGTGCGACAGTGTAAGGGGGATGGCTTTATAGATATCCATATGAACAGAATTTCACCAAATGCAGTACGTTCATTGCATTGCCATATCTATATTTCTATTGGTAAATGAACGATATAATTGAATGATAAAATGATATTTTGTTTGCCTAACGTCAATTGACAAAATATTTTGTCCATATACAGACGAGAACAAATTAACATAAGGCATGGTATTGGTTGCAAAAATTTGATAGTTTTCATTTAAATGCAATATTTCTTATTTAATTGGTATATTTCTTCATTTAAATGCAATATTTTTTTATTTGAATGGTATATTTTTTCATTTAAATGCAATATTGTTTATTCAAATGGTATAATTTTTCATTCAAATAGTATAGTTTTTCATTCAAATGGTATAATTTTCATTCAAATGCAATAGTTTTTATTCAATTGGTATAAAATGTCATTTGAATGCAATATTTTTTATTCAATTGGTATAGTAGTTTTTTATTTATATGCAATAATTGCATTATGGAAAATTCTTTGACGTCATAAGGTCAAATTTGCAACAACGTTTGTGATTGGTCGGAAATTGTTTGGATTTCTCCCCTTTCTTTCTAAACATGGGTGACCAATAATTAAAAAACGCGTCAGAATATCGCCCCTCTAACTAAATCTAACGTTCGTGCGAGTCTTGCACTGGCTTTTAAAATCTTGTGGTCGTAACTAGTATTTCTATGCAAAATTTCGATGGTCAAAATGTTCGGTCCACTTTTCAAAAACCGTTTCATTGTATATGGATGTATATGAAAGTTTATCGGTTTTTTTAAATAGATAAGACACCGTTGGTTTTCCCGTTTGAATTGTTTTACACTACTAATTTTTTGGGGGCCCTTTATAGCTTGCTGTTCGGTTTGAGCCAAGGCTCCGTGTTGAAGACCGTACGTTGACCTTTAATGGTTTACATTTACAAATTATGACTTCGATGGAGAGTTGTCTCATCGGCACTCATACCACATCTTCTTATATCTATATACAACGTAAACCAGACGTTTCTCAGACTGTTTTCTTTTTTTAATAAATCCTTTGCCGCGCGTTATGTACTGATTGATAACTCAGTCTGGGAGAACAAGATTTATTTCAGTACCAGTTGTAATTAGGTTTGAGCAAACTTCCAGTAATTGCAAATACTCTTACGTCGGTGCTTTGTGTCTATTGTCTTAATGTTTTTTTTTTTGGTTGTCTCGTACCGATCTTTTGAGTTAATTTGCTGATTTGTGCAGGTTGTTATTTTATTGTACTGTTACACCACTGTCCCAGCTTCGGGATGGGTTGCTCACAAACATGTAATTGTACTGTTACACCGCTGTCCCAGATTAGGGGGAGGATTGGGATCCCGCTAACATGTTTAACCCCGCCATATTCTGTATGTATGTGCTTGTCCCAAGTCAGTAGCCTGTAATTCAGTGGTTGCCGTTTGTTGCTTTGTTATACATATTTGTGTTTCGTTCATTTTTTTGTACATTAATTCGGCCGTTAGTTTTCTCGATTGAATTGTTTTACATTTTTGATTTCGGGGCCTTTTATAGCTGACTTTATAGAATTTAACATTTTTCCCAACAGTTCTTAATTTAGTCCTGGTATCTATAATGAATTTATTCATACATATTTTACAATCAAAAACATGTCAGCAGATTATAGCTTTAACAGTTCCTTTAATAAATGCTCTACAGATTGGACATCTTCTTAAAGCTGGAGCACAGTTAATGCATGCAGCCATGTGACCACATTGGAGAAAAACGATGGCCACAGGTTCGTCTAGACAAATCTTACAGGTTTGTTGATCTTTTAAATTCCTGTTTTCTTCCTCGAGGCTCCTTATAGATGCTGAAAGAAAATTTTACATATAAATAGACGGGTACAATCATAATTAAGTTCATACCAATGTTTGTAATAAATACTTTCCCCGAAAGATAGAAAAGGTCAATGAATATGAAACTAATAAAAGTTGAGGTCTAAAACAATTGTTTTTACATATACAACTATATATTTGTCTATGTTCCACTGAATGCGAATAATTTAATATCAGGTACTAATAACAAAATAATCATTAAAAAACCAAGTATTACAAAAGAAAATAACAATATTAATCAACGTTGTAAACATTGTAGATTAACTTTTATAAATTTCCAACTTTCAATTCGTCATAAGTGTCGTTTATATCCAATGGTATCTAATAATACATCTCATGGTTGCATATGGTTATACATATCTGTTTATCTGTGTTATGTTCTTTCTGGAATACCTCTAAGGTTGATAGATATAAATATACTCACATTCCAGTGTTGGGTCAATTTTCTCAATCTTTTCTGGGGTTTTGTTGGAATGTTCTTTATCGTCTGCTTCTTTTTCTGGAGTTGTATTATGACTAGGAATTGTCAGGTCAGAGGTGGTATGGTGATTTTCACTCGCTTCTTTTTCATAAATGGTATCTAGCAAAAGTGAAGCCGTAATATCTGTAAAACAACAAAGATTCAATTTCCGTTTGATGCATATCATCAAAGTACAAAAATGTAGCAAACAAACAGAAACTTATGTCAATGTTCTGTATTTCTTTCATTCATACTGTACGTATAATGGAGGTGTAAAGTAAACGAGTTTATGCTGCAATGGACCTTTCAACTGTACAAATACAGGTGTACAGATAACACTAGACGATAAACGTAAACTAGACGTTTGTACATGTAGTCTCCTGGTAGCCTGCGTCTGTTGCGAACGTGCGGTTATTATCAAATTATTGTGTACATCAGAGTTCAATTTGGGGTCCTCACTGCAGTCCGCGTTCAAGTCATGTAAAACTAACCGTTTAAGCTCAATGTTAAATTGCAGGATAAGAATAAACTTCGCACAGTGTAGGAAAGCATAACATTTACTTATAATCGCTACGAAAGAGGATAAAAACTCGGAGAGCGTTGCTTTTTTCTCTGTTTCTAAAGCTCGGCAAATAAGTTTTATATTTTCCTATGCTGTACGAATATTGTATATATCAATATAAACAATACAATAGAATTGTGTCAAAAATATTCTGGCTGATGTGGTCGTTTGTACTGCTCAGGGTATTTTTGTATTAGTGTTATTTATTTTTTTGGAGACATTATACACAAAGTTATTCATGAAGTGATTTTTAGTAAATACTGAATAAATTGCTACGAAAGAGGATAAAAACTTGGAGAGCGTTGCTTTTTTCTCTGTTTCTAAAGCTCGGCAAATAAGTTTTATATTTTCCTATGCTGTACGAATATTGTATATATCAATATAAACAATACAATAGAATTGTGTCAAAAATATTCTGGTTGATGTGGTCGTTTGTACTGGTCAGGGTATTTTTGTATTAGTGTTATTTATTTTTTTGGAGACATTATACACAAAGATATTCATGAAGTGATTTTTAGTAAATACTGAATAAATTGTTTTTAAAGTCAACGAGTGCGAATTTAGGGGAATATTCTCCTACTTCCTAATACTACTCAAGATTGCATAGAGATACAAGTATATTACATAATATTTATTTACATTTACAAAAAGTGTAACAATCTAAATTCATATTGTCACTTGTCAGTTGTGTGTTTTAGTGGTTGATATTTCACGCGATCATTACACACCTTCATATCATATGATAGAGGTTTTATTAAAACTTATTTCTGTTCATAGCACACTCTATATTTATTTCTGTAAGTGATCTTTGCTTAAATAAGACAGAATTGTTTTTGGAAAGAAAAAATACTGCCTTTCTTTAAAAACATATATACATCAACACAACCTATATAACAGTGTTAACTTATGAAATAATTTTATTTTGAAAGTCAAGGTATTTTATTTTGTTCATTAAAGAAATATATAGAAATCATTACTGAACAAGTATTGGGTCTGATTTATAGAATTATGGTGAAGTTAGAATTCAATTGGCTACAATGAAATGTAGAAATTTAAACAAGATACGGACAGGAAAAGATAATTAACTACAGTATGGGTATCCAAGACTCGGTTACGTTATTGCATTATGCTGACGTTATATATGATACTAACAAGCACTCTATACTTTTTTTAGAAGGTTAAACTTGTAACAGTTAGAATGGGAAAGACAAAGTGATCGTCTAGAATAGTATAAATTTGTACATACCATGTATTCCAGATTCTTTCAATCGTGTATAAGCTGTCTTTACAACATCAGATTCGTATCCAAATTCAAGAATAGTTTGCACTGCTGGGTTATTTATTTAACCATCTATTCCAATAGACGCTTTCTTCTGTTTGTTTTCTGTCACCTGTAATATTAAGGAAAAGTAGCTGCATCTGAAGGAATACACATTAGGAGTGTACGTGCACATCATACACACAATTGTTTTTGATTTCTGCCTTAGTTAAAAGGTATCGGTAAATTGTTTTTTGAAAACACTTCAAATTTATCTATTTTCTAGCTTATTTATCAAACTGTCATAACTGCAGAGTCTGATTATCGATTTGTACTTACATTTTCAGCAGTTTCAGGATTTGTCCCTCGCTGTACATCAGCAATGAACGTTCCCCCCTTACATTGTATGACAAATGGACACATGGGATACCATCGAGCATGTTCTGTCCAAGGCAAATCTTCTTCCTCCCATCGTCTTAAACCACCCCCACAAAAGAAACATCTGCAGTGATCCTCGGTACCTAAATATAACATTTAAAATTCATTATAAGTTAAATTATAAAATTGAATAAAAAAATGTTCTCGGAAAGGCAGCGCAAAATTGTTAAAAATATACATACCTGCTCAATAAGATGTCATTTATCGTTTAAATTTGGAAACTGCCTTTCCGTTTTATATCTCCAATTTCCTGGAAAAAATTCTTAGAAATGATTGTATTTCTATAACTTATGTAAAATTTCGTTTTTAAGTAAAGCCTAAATTGTCTAATATCTGTATCTTCATGCAATTGTCGATATTCACAACTTAATCATTAAAAATCGAACTACTTCTAATAATGTTTGGTACACTCAATTAACAGTTAATTACCAGTATAAAAGAAACCTGCATTTACCAGATCCTCTGGTGTTTGAGACATGTATAAAGGCCAGTTAGTAAATGATGAAAATCGAGTTGTCTTTATAGCATATTTAGGATTTGGTGTATAAGCTGTCTTTACAACATCAGATTCGTATCCAAATTCAAGAATAGTTTGCACTGCTGGGTTATTTATTTAACCATCTATTCCAATAGACGCTTTCTTCTGTTTGTTTTCTGTCACCTGTAATATTAAGGAAAAGTAGCTGCATCTGAAGGAATACACATTAGGAGTGTACGTGCACATCATACACACAATTGTTTTTGATTTCTGCCTTAGTTAAAAGGTATCGGTAAATTGTTTTTTGAAAACACTTCAAATTTATCTATTTTCTAGCTTATTTATCAAACTGTCATAACTGCAGAGTCTGATTATCGATTTGTACTTACATTTTCAGCAGTTTCAGGATTTGTCCCTCGCTGTACATCAGCAATGAACGTTCCCCCCTTACATTGTATGACAAATGGACACATGGGATACCATCGAGCATGTTCTGTCCAAGGCAAATCTTCTTCCTCCCATCGTCTTAAACCACCCCCACAAAAGAAACATCTGCAGTGATCCTCGGTACCTAAATATAACATTTAAAATTCATTATAAGTTAAATTATAAAATTGAATAAAAAAATGTTCTCGGAAAGGCAGCGCAAAATTGTTAAAAATATACATACCTGCTCAATAAGATGTCATTTATCGTTTAAATTTGGAAACTGCCTTTCCGTTTTATATCTCCAATTTCCTGGAAAAAATTCTTAGAAATGATTGTATTTCTATAACTTATGTAAAATTTCGTTTTTAAGTAAAGCCTAAATTGTCTAATATCTGTATCTTCATGCAATTGTCGATATTCACAACTTAATCATTAAAAATCGAACTACTTCTAATAATGTTTGGTACACTCAATTAACAGTTAATTACCAGTATAAAAGAAACCTGCATTTACCAGATCCTCTGGTGTTTGAGACATGTATAAAGGCCAGTTAGTAAATGATGAAAATCGAGTTGTCTTTATAGCATATTTAGGATATTTTGGTTTTTCAAGACAAATGCCGATGTTCATTGATGCTGAATCTGAAGCCGAAGATCGCACCGAATCTACAACTGTTTGTGTTAATGTTCGTTGTGGAGCAACATGTGTATCTGGTATACGAATGAGACCAGTTGTGTCGTTTCTAGAGTACACGGTTTGCGTCTGGTTCGTTCTTCTCTGTGATGAAATGGCTTCACTGCTTTCCGTCTGCCTATCAGAAACATTATTCACTTGGTTTTCGGTTAGTTCACTATTTCGAGATGACATTGTATCCTTGTCAACTGGAACGATATGTCCATGATTTCTGTCAACTGTAACGATATGTCCATGATTTCCGTCAACTGTAACGATATGTTCATGATTTCTGTCAACTGTAAACGTATTTTCATGATAAACTCTTGCTTCAATTGCACGTTGTTCCTCTACAGATTTACAATGTTTCTCATTGACTACTGATAAATTTTCGGCATCTGCTGCATTACCACAAGCGCCTGTGGAAGATTCTGCTCCACCATTTGCAGAAATAGTCCACACATGATGTTGTTTTGAAGTAGCACTTAAATGTTTTATAACAAAAGGACATTCTGGTGCCTTTTCTTTGTTAATTACTTTTGGATCATCTGTTGATTTCCAGTGTTGTTGTTTTGACCCGCAAAAATTACAGATTACTTCGTCTCCGTGTCCTTCATAGTAATAACCAGCTTTGGCCAGCCTTATTACTGAAATATTTGTGTTTGGATAAGATGCAAAACTTGATAATCTACACCACTCAAACTGCATAGATTCCTTTAAAAAGCTGGATTGTTTTGATTGCTGTTGATCCACAAATTTGTTATATTCCTCAGGGTCCAATAAATACGTCTTGAAAAACGTTTTCGGATAAAAATGAAATGATCTCACAAATCTGTTCAGCCATGCTTTACATTTCGGCATGTAATAATCTTTTTCTGACTTCAATGTCATCCATGTCATTTTATTATGATGATCATGAATTAAACTGTGACTATCCATATGTTTTTCGAATGTATCCATAAACTCACTTTGAACTGTTTTGACAATAGCCATGATCGACACAACAAATTATAGTAACAAGCACGGCATAGTTGGATGTTATTGTCTTTTGTTTAATGACAATGTTCCCCGTATAGGTTGAGGTTGACTTTTGCCACTTCTCATCATCAGTACATGATGATCATGTCCGGCATTGGACTTGTCCTTATCTTGGTAGATGATATCATATTCTTGTCCTGTTCCTAGGTTTTCATCATTTATTGGTACAGTCATGATTAAGGTTAACTTCTAATTCTCTACGTTGTTTGTAAAAAGAATATCGGTAATGATATATAAATGGTCATATAACAGATGTATGTGAGATAAATACGCCTATAGATATTACATAAAATCATGTACATGTGATCACGCATGATCGTTTTCACGTGGTTTGAAAACAACTTACATTACATGAAAATAGACAGTAACATGCACGAACGGGCGTTTAATAGAATCATTCTAAACAAACTTGTATTTACGCACTTGTGTATTTACAACATGTAAATGACTTTGGTATTGGATTTTTTTCACATTTAAGAGAAGCTAAAGACACCAAAGGGACATTCAAACTCATAAGTCAAAAATAAATTGACAACGCCATGGCTAACAAAAAGACAAACAACAGTACACAAAACACAACATAGAAAGCTTAAGACTGATCAACAGGAACCCCATCAAAAAATAGGGGGTCTCAGGTGCTCCGGAAGGGTAAAATTACCGGTCATTTTCGACAGTTTTGATGAAGTGAACCCAACATTCTCCGACTAAATATCTGAGGCAGCATATAACGTTTTCTTTTCTGAACTAATTTAAATCAGACTGCATTATATTTGCTGTTTTTAATGCTATTTGAATTTATTCCAAAAACAGTTTCAGATTCAATAACCCCAAATTCAGGCAGAAGTCGATAAACCAATTATTTGACACTTCGTTATATTTGTCTTGGTCTTCCTTGTTATGAAGGACCCAATAGGAGTTGTATGTTAGAAATTAGAATGTCAACAATTTTAAAATATTTAGCAGAGATGCACAATAGAGCTCATAGCATTCCTGCAAATACAAAGATATATGAATAGCTGAAAGAGCAATGCTTAAAGGGAAACAAGGCAAAACAAAGGGTATTCTAACAAGGGTATTGCAAGACCTGTAGAAATTACTGTGAATTCAGAAATTATTGGGTGCATTTATTATTGCGATTATTGAAGAATGGAAAAAACTGCATATAGATATTTGTATCAGATACTAGTATTAGAATGGATGTTGTTATTATTGCGTTACTCACCAAGTCGCCTCATTCACATTTATAAAACCTCGCAATAATTTCTGAATTTGCAGTACTTCGGTACTGGCATGAAATTACGGATATTGTGTTATCAAAATTTGCTGTTCCAAAAAATGTTTTGAAAATATTTGAAATTAAGGAATATATCTTTCTCGTGCAATACTCTGATTTCTGTCCCGGCTTTGGCTATACTTTTTGTCGTTTGGTTTTATCAGATCTTCAATTATTTCGTTTTCTTCAAGTTTTAGATATCCAAATATTTTGGCCTTGTTGAAAATCATGCAAGTGCCATTACGAACAAAGAGTCAAATGCACACGCTGTGGATTTATTATGTAATTTCCGTCGTTTGTTCGTCATTATTTATCGTGCGAAATTTTACAGTCGGATGTTTATTAGGTTTATATGATGGCCACGGTATGTGGTAATCAAAATATGATATGGGTAATTAGCATAGGATAACTAATCATTTTTGTAGAATTTAAAAAGAATCATAAGATTTCATATTACACTTCTCTTTTTCGTTTAGTTGAATTAAAAATCAAGTTTTGAGGTATCCATCTTCTTTCTCAAACATGGTAGTTTTATACTACGTCAATCATCAGAATTTCATGAGGCAGCAAACGTTTTGTGTCCTATTAGGAATGAATAAATATTACACTTTCAGTGTACCCTAAAATAGAGGACCACCATGTCTTAGTTTATGTTCTACTAGTAGTATCGAAGTTTTAAACATACCAATTCTTATATTATTATTTTTTAAGGCAACATCTCTTTTTCCATAGAAAAACAAAGGATATGGGGTATCAATCCATGACACAAAATCAGTATAAGAACAGCAATAAAAAAAACACACAAAAAGCAACGGAACAGCGCTTTGATTGCTGTATTTAATCTCAAAGTCACATTGAGACCTTCCACACGGAGCAAAAAGGCTCTCAGCTCACTGCAAGTGCAAAAAGAATTTGAAAAGAATTCGTAAAATGTTACACCATCAAATTGGGCACGGTCAAAAAGGAAAGTACATATTTAAAACAAAGTAGTTCTTACGTATAGGTGTAAACATAAAACTATGCAAAACTATTTTTGGTAAGTTATATAGATATCAAATGAAAGGTGAAGGACTGGTGATCCTTTCCAGTTTTCCAACAAGCATCTTCCCTATAAAATCGTATCATTTCAATAGATATAAGAAGATGTGGTATGAGTGCCAATCAGACAACTCTCCATCCAAGTCAAAATTTATAAAAGTAAACCATTATAGGTCAAAGTACGGTCTTCAACACGGAGCCTTGGCTCACACCGAACAGCATGCTATAAAGGGCCCCAAAAATTATTAGCGTAAAACCATTCAAACGGGAAAACCAACGGTCTAATCTATATAAAAAACGAGAAACGAGAAACACTTATGAACCACATCAACAAACGACAACTACTGAACATCAGATTCCTGACTTAGGACAAGTGCAAACAAATGCAGCGGGTTTAAACGTTTTAATGGTACCAAACCTTCACCCTTTTTCTGAAACAATAGTGTAATATCACAACATAGAAAGACACACTATAAAATATCAACTGAAATAGCTTAACTCAATCAAAGGACATATTAACACCAGTGAACATACACTGAACAAATAAATTTGACCTACGATACAATGTAAATATAAAATACATAAACTAAGGGAAGAATAATAAAAGTAACATGTTATACCGCTATGAAATGTTAAACAATTTAAGAAAAACAATATGCTCGAACAAAAATATCAGCCATTTGCAATTACTTTAAACACAGGTAAATGAAAATAATTTTGTTGTTAGGTATACGTGTACTACGATAGCCTATAAGGGTCACAAAAAAAAATATTTATCGCGTAATTACGAGATAAATATCTTGTAATAACGAGAAAACTATCGCGTAATTACGAGATAATTATCCCGTAATTACGAGAAAACTATCACGTAATTACGAGATATTCATTTTTTATCTCGTAATTACGAGATAATCATTTTTTATCTCGTAATTACGAGATAATTATCGCGTAATTACGAGAAAACTATCGCGTAGTTACGAGATAATTATCGCGTCATTACGAGATAACTATCACGTAATTACGAGACAATTATCTCGTAATTACGAGATCATCATCGCGTAATTACGAGAAAACTATCGCGTAATTACGAAATAAGGAGTTTTTTATCTCGTAATTACGAGATAATTATCGCGAAATTACGAGAAAATTATCGCGTAATTACGAGATAATCATTTTTTTATCTCGTAATTACGAGATAACCATCGCGTAATTACGAGAAAACTATCGCGTAATTACGAGATAATAATTTTTTTATCTCGTAATTACGAGATAATCATTTTTATACGCCCGTTTACGGGACGTATTATGGTATACCGTTGTCCGTCTGTCCGTCCGTCCGTCCGTCCGTCGTCAACATGTCGGACATTAACTCAAAAACGCTTTTACTTATTTGCATAAAACTTTGGTGAATTGTTTATGTCTATTGACGTGAGCTCCCTTTAGATTTTTATATATTTTAGATTTTACGTTTCCGAGTTACAGGGTTTTATTCATAAAAAAGGGGGATTTTCCAGTTTTCGGACAAAAAATAAAAAATGCTTTCAGCAGTTCTTATAAAACTTTTGGTGAATTGTTAATATCTATTGATGTAAGCTCTGTTTAGAATTTTATAAATTTTCATTTATCATTTCTGAGTTATTGTTTTTTATTCATTAAGAAAGGGGTGATTTTCCAGATTTCGGACAATAACTCAAAAATGCTGTCAGCAATTCTCATGAAACTTTGGTGAATAGTTTATATCTATTGATGTAAGCTCCCTTTACATTTTCATAAATTTCTAATATGACATTGAGAATTAATTGAACTTTATTTGTTTATAGTCTGACAACAGATTTACTAAGTATTGCGCAACAGCACAGTGTATTGCACAACAGCAAGAAATCTTTAATTGAATATAAATTCAATTCATATAACCAATTTCAAGTTCTTTGACTACATTTATTCAGAAACCTATAATATGTCAAATATTTAATTACAAAACCTGTATCAAGCTTGAATATTGTGTCCATTTTTGCCCCAACTGTTCAGGGTTGGACCTCTGCGGGCGTATCCAGCTGCGCTCAGCGAAGCAGTTTATTTTATCTCGTAATTACGCGATAGTTTTTTCGTAATTACGCGATGATAATCTCGTAATTACGCGATAATTATCACGTAATAACGCGATAATTATCTCGTAATTACGCGACAATTATCTCGTAATTACGAGATAAAAAACTTCTTATCTCGTAATTACGCGATAGTTTTCTTGTAATTACGCGATGATTATCTCGTCATTACGAGATAGTTTTCTCGTAATTAGGCGATAGTTTTCTCGTAATTACGAGATATTTATCTCGTAATTACGAGATAAATTATTTTTTTTTGTGTGACCCTAATAGGCTTTCGTAGTGTACAGTTCAAATAGAGAAAGGAAATATTTTTACAAATAAATAATTTTGATGTGCAAAGTAAAAATTTATAGTAATACCAAACACTTATCAAAGCTGGTTTATAGGCCAGATATAACCCTGAATAACATTAAATAACAAAAAAAGCAAAAAAAGCATTACAATTAGTATCAACAGGTCAAATAAACAAGAAAGTACGATTTGAGAGTACTCGCAGTTACTGACAGCTAGTTAAAATCCAAAAAACAATTAATAATAAAAATTCATGCATCAGAGACTAAAATCAACTAAAACACATCCCAGGGATTTAGTATTTTAACGTCATGGACAGTCAAAGAAGACATGA